AAGCTGGGGGACGTCTGGGCCGGGGGGCGGGAGCAGTCCAGGGTGATGTCTCTGGAGGTGCTGAAGAAGGAGCTGGTCGCCCTGGGTGCACCCGCAGCGGAAGTTGAACAGGCATTCGTCGTGGAGACGATTCCGATCCACACCACCAAAATGGACTATGCGGGAAACATACGGCGCAATTCTGTAGAGGTGGGCATGGAGGTGGGCGCCCTGGAGGGCGCATCCATGGAGGTGGAATTTGGTCCTGATTGGACGCAGAACTATGTCTTCAGTGCAGTGCCCAAGACGCTGCACCGGTTCAGATCGCGGCCAAGTGCGGAGAAAATGTTCAAGTGGGCGGTGCTTAAGGCCCCCAGGGGCAGAGGGCCGCTCTTCCAGCGCCGCTGGTTCCTGGTGATGGAGATGTGGACCTCATCGAGGCTGGTGTTCCTGAAATGCGACAGGGCGGCCAGGGTGAAGATTCTGGGCCGCGTGGAGCCGCCGCTGAGCATCAACCAGCTGGTCGAGCTGATTTCGGGGTTGAAGCTGGCTCAGGTGGGGTGGCTTTGACAGGGGCATTTCTCTGCCACCTGTTGCTTCGTGTTCTCCCAACGAGACAAGTGGGATTGCAGCGGGAGCCTTGCAGGGTGGCCGGGAAGGGGTTCCCTACAGGCGGACGTCAAAAGCCCGGTGTGCACCGCACCCTTAGGTTTCTTATTGCTCGGCCAGTTGAACAGGCGCATTGTTCGCTTGTCCAATACCATTTCCTTGCATCTTCTTTCCAGCACTCGTTTCCGTCCCCGCAACGGCAATCGGCTGCGCACTCTCAATGTCACAGAAAAGTGACTTGGCAGCCAGCGAACCCCAGCTGGGTGGGAAGGGCAAGTAGGGGAGATAGGGTGTCCGAGCGAGACTGTTCTGTGTTGCACCCCAGGTCGGCGCCAGCCTGCGAATTGACCCCGAGTTCGTGGGGCTGCACAAAGTGGTGAGGGATGCGGAGTGCGCCTGCGTGGTGAAAGTGCTCAACAACCGGCCCCTCAAGTCCAGCGGGAGGATTGAGAAGACCGGCTTCTTCAAGTCCGCGGACGAGGCGGTGCGGGAGGAGCGCCTGCTGGACGAGGTCGCGCGCCAGCTGAAGTGGTGCCAGGACGACGTGCTGAACGACGTGGTGACGCTTGACGACGCGAAACTGGTTGAAGTTGAGGGGGGACGCCCAGGCGTGTTCGAATCGGTGGCCGACTTTGGATCCTGAACAAGGAGTTGCTGGGGGATGGGGTTGGGTAGAGTACAGGGTTCCTTTGTTCTATTGGGGCTTGGCGGCGTCCCGATTGCACCGCTCCGTGAGCATGCCGAGCGGCGCTCACCGATGCAATGCCCAGCGGGTCAACTCATCAGTGCATCGGTCTGAAATAGTGCGGGTCAGCGCGGCTGGCGGCTTCCGACGCCGCCGGGACACCGATTTGCTTTTTGATGAGTTGCGTGGCGTGTTGGAGCAGCAATGCGTCAGGGCAAGGAAGTGCTGCTGGTTGAGTTGAAAAGGAATAGTGTCATGGGCAGTGTCTTTCTTTGTGTTTGTTTTTTTTTTCGCTTTTGTGACCGAACGAGATTTAAACTGATCGGCTTGAAACGCCGGAACGGAGCCTAATTCGGACAGTGTCCAGCAGAAAAAGCAGACTGGCCCTGATGTGGACACGGGGAAATTAACGGCTCTGCCTTGCAACTTGAAGTCCACAGTTGTAAGTGGTACAACTGGATGGTGGGTGCCAAGCGCCACCATTCTGTAAAATGCACCAGTTCTTCACAGTTCACGATGCGATTGGTAGCTTGCCACTTTGTCAAATTTCCGTGCCGTGCACTCTGCGATCCATCTTTTTCATCAACAAATTGCAGGCTGTATCTTGCTGCTGTGCAGTTGGGATTGAAACCGTACACCCCTACATAGCGTTCCGAACCAAATGTGATGTGTGGGAGCCGCCCCTGGGCGGCAAGCTGCCTCCAGTGCTTGTGACATCAGTTTGAGCTGACACTTGCAAACTTGCGTGTTGCTCGCAACACTGTGTCGAGCAAACTTTGGCCTAAGCACCTCAATTTGGACAGGACGCCTGGCAAAATTTTGAAAGCTACCTCAATGCGGCCAATGCCGAGCCATGGTGAACGAAAAATGACTGATCCTGGGAAGCTGGTGGACAACGGGCAAGGTGGTGGTGGCTCTGAGGAGTTTGGGTGGAATGCAGTGGTGGGGTTTGGCTAGCTGTCCCTCCTGAAGGTGTCTTCGGTTAATCGAATGGGAGGGTAGTAGCTGAGCTGTTCTTTGACATAGGGCGCTGAAACCTTCCAAAGTTTGAAATTTTGAGCGTTGTGGCTTTGGCTGCGCATGTGTTTTCTGAAGGACTGTTGGTATTTCGTTCACCATCTTATCCAATGTCCGCAAGTTTGGCGGAACAAACCATCGGTCAAGTTTCTCAGCAAGCGGTGCCGTTCGCCACTGGGGGACACAAGCATAGCAATGAGTGCAGTGGCTCCTTGCGGAGGGCCCCTTTTGAACGGGCGTTAGGAGGGTGGGAGGCAGTGGGTATCCATGACGCTGCAGAGGCTCTGCCCATGCAAGTTTCCAGTGCAGGAAGATACGGGCCATGGCGCGTGTGCTCCAGTGCAAACTGGAGCAGCGCATATTCGATTTGCAAATGTATGGCCATTGTCCCACGTGGGTGGACAAGCTACATCAAAAACCGAGATTTGAAGTTTTAATTTAAACTGCACCACGAATCCAACGTGGGCTAAACACAACATTGCAGATCAGGAGGATTGTGGCCCTGCATGGCTGCAGGGAAAATTGCTTGTCGAGCAATCATTTTGCGGCGAGCAAAGATTACTTTGCTCGACGTTCACCACGAACGGCGGCAATTTGTTTGCATGCAACATGGCTTGAGTTGCTCATACGCCCTAATCAGCATAGCGTACAAAACAATGCAAGCGATTTTAGGGAACACATTGTTACATTCGCTGCTAGTCACAGAATGGCTGGCTCATGATTCCATCATGTGTCAAATTGACTCATGGCGACACCTGGCTGTCGCAGCCATCGCCGGTCCCACCGATTGCCATCGGTGCTCGCAGCCCCTCCATCCCGATAACCGGTGCGAGCCAATCGACACGCATTGCTGCGGCCGATCGGTGCAGATCCTTCCGGAAGGATCCTCCTTGCAGTGCTGCCTTATCGGACACCGTTTCTGAGTGAGGACGCAGCTTCGTGAGCTTTGCCGATGGGTCCACTGGCCGGTTGGAGGCCTCGAAGGCTGCGCAGGATTGCGGCCTGCGGAACGCGCAAACAGCGAGAGGCACCAGCGCTGGTGGTGGCGCAACCCAGCAACGGTCTCACGGAGACAGCTGACGAGCTTCGTGGGGGCAGATGATGTACCGCCACCGCATCACTCACAGTGGCAGACAGGGCAGCGAACGTAGGCGTCCAGCGAGATGCAGCAGGCCTGAGATTGTACGTCCCAAACGCATTCCCGGACGGGAAGACTTTGCCAATGTCGGCCAAGCGCTTCACCAAAGGTGGTCAAATGGAACTGACCCAAGATGTTGATGTGTGCAGCAACAAATCTGCGATGACTTCAAGTCAATCTACGCAATTGATGACTATGCCACCGAGTTTCAAGCAAGCTGCTGACCAATCTGTGTGATCAATATCGTCGTGCAGCTCGATATTTATGGAAATTGCTGTGAGCTTGTGCTGAATACTTTGGCGAATCACAATTTCGAAGTCCTGGTTTAAATGATTGAGGGACTCTCATGATGCTTGCTGGCGATAGGTTTGAGTTCACAGTGATTGCTGTGTACAAAATGACAGACTGACATGCGTTTCAGGTTGATTGTTCCACAATTGATTCAGGGCAGACTACTGCAAGGTGTGATGCCATTATTTCTCAACTCTTCTGTTTCAGGCGGATGTATCTTATGTGTCTCTGCGAGGCTTGACAGCCCAAATGGGATGCGACCTGCTACGCACGGAGGCATCAGAAATCTGGTCATGAATTTGGTCATGAAAATCTATGGGCTTTCGTTGCTGATGCGCTGGGCGAGTGTATCAGTCGTTTAATTCAATCAAGAAACATCACTGGGCTGATTCATGCCGTGGCTGTGACGTCACAGCGTTGTTCTTGAGCAGCACATTGTATTCCGAGAAAAGGGCGGGCGGAACCGTAGATGCGAACGAATATTCCTGCGAATCTTACAGGTCACGGCACAAGTTCGATTGTGGTGCTGTGTGTGTGCTGGAAAAGCGACGAATGAGTGAAGTGATGGCCTCCTGAGCGTTGCAAGGTGGTTATGTGAGGGTTAGAAGAGCATGTTGTGAGTTTTGGGAAGCACGCTCAAATGTGGTGAGAATAGTAGAGTATGAGGCGTAAGGTGAGTGAGAGTGATGTGAGCTGCCAAGTTTGGACGTGACCTAATAGAACTGGTGTAAAATTTGATTGCACTGCACTCTCTGACGCGGCTAGGGTACTTGGGGTTTGGTTGCCGTGCTGTGTGGGGGACGTATGCTGCTGTGCCCAGTGTCTGAGGGGTTGAACGGACGGGCCATAGTCCGCGAAGCTGTAAACACCCCATTGGAATTCTCCTCATGCGCAAGCCGTGCACACAGGCTGCCGCGCGCAGCCCGACCAGATCGGCTTCACAGCCAGGAGTTTGAGGTCTCCTGCGCTTGAATGTCGGCAGAAAGCGCCCACTGCAATCTCGCCGTTCGAGTGCATGGGTCTCCAAGCGATTCTGTGAGAATCGAAGCGGTTTCCCATGTATTTCTCACCCAAGACCCGGATTTCTGCGTGAGCCTGGACGTCCAAGGCCTGGAGACCCGTTTAAGCCCGTTTAATGTGTTCCGTAGCAGAACCGTTCGGGACGTTTTCGCGAGGGATCTGGAGGAACCCAGATTCATATCCTTCGACGTAAATCCAATCGAGCCGGAAGGCGGGACAGGCGAGGGCTTCGCGCTTTGTGGACTTTCGCCCAGGTGGTTTCCATGACAGACGGCCACCTTTTGCAACATAGATTGCTTTAGAGGCGCGGAGCCGTGAACGAAGCTCAGATAACTTGATGTGCCCACAATCAGCGTCGGAAAAAAGTTGCATATCCTAGGATATGGAAACGCCCATATCCTCACCCATATCCAGGATATCGAATATGATATGGGAGGATATGCATATCCTGGATACGGGCAGCATATCCCAGGATACGGAGGTCGTATCCTAGGATATGGCCATATCCTGGATATGTATATCCAGGATATGCAACTTTTTTCCGACGAGTAATTAACGTCGAGTGCTCGTTGTTGACATTGGCAAGCTGGTCTATGGTGTTTTGTTGCCCTGCCAGTCACCACATTTCAAACACAGTCCCAAAGTGAATGCCGGGACAGCATGGCCAGCATAGAAATTGATACGATGCTGACTAAGGAGCACATGTCCCCCTCAAGCATAATTTTAGTAAACTGAGATTTGAAACGGAGTGCATTCACCTGTGCGTGATACGCCAAGATGCCTGGGGTAGTCAAGTTTTGGGCAGGGAGCATCTAAGAATTGTATTACTGCTTGCACCAATCGGTGACTGCTTGCACCAAATCGGTGACTGCTATGTACTAACCTTAGTTTTGGGGTTAGGTTTAAAGTTGGGGTGAGTTTTAGGGTTAGGGTTAGGGTAGGTTTAGGATTAGGATTTAGGATTTATTTTTCAGGTTAGGTTAGTTTTGGAGGGGTTTGGCGCAGGCAGTCACCGATTTGGTGCAGCCAGTAATTGTATGCCCATCCCTAAGGACTCTGCACAAGCATCCAGCATGGGTTCCCACCTACCATCCCTCCACTCGTGGTGGCGGGCCGCATCACTGATACTGAAACTCAACGGGCGCCTGTGGAGCGACTTCTGCGGCAATGTGCGCACCAACTCCAACTTCTTCGAGATGAAGCTGGGGGACGTCCGGGCCGGTGGGCAAGAGCACTCCAGGGTGACGTCTCTGGAGGTGCTGAAGAAGGAGCTGGTCCCCCTGGGCGCGCCCGCATTGAAAGTTGAACAGGCATTCGTCGTGGAGACGATTCCGATTAACACCATCAAAATGGACTACGCGGGAAACATACGGCGCATCCGTGTGGAGGTGGGCGCGGAGGATGGCGCAATGGTGGCATCCACGGAGGTGGGATTCGGTCAGGACGAGAGAGAAAACTACATTTTCAGTGCTGTGCTCTAGTTCAGATCGCG